CTTTTGACTTCAGGTACAATTTTTCTCTAAAATCTTTATTAAAATTTTTACCTATACAAAAGATCAAGAAAGAGGCCATCAGATTAATGGTACCTGAATCCAGTTATGATCTCAAGATTCTAGACGCATCACTTTTATGCTCGTTTCTACACTACCACTTTGGTCCTTTTAAGAAGGATCAAAGAATAGTGGAGAATCTCTCGCTAGTTTTTAGAATTTAGCATCACGAAGTGTAATACCCAAGGATTTCTTACTTATGATTTAAATAAATTATTTAAGCTCTTAAAGGGTGTATATGTGATAGGATTAACTTTGGGGTTAAATTTATAATGAGGTGAGAAACTCAGGGACTAAGTGGCAGTAATTCCTTTTTATAAAGAAACCCCAAATCAGATTGTTCGGCAGTTTCACTCTTTTTCTTTCTCTTCGAGAAATAGGATCGCCGTCTTCTTCCTCTTGTCTACAAGGGGGAAATAGCTCTAGGGATCTGCCATACTAGACTAAAATTCAAGGCAAATTGTCTCTTTAAACTTGAAATATTTAGGAATTTGGAATGAAGGGAATGGGTAGATGCATGGGTTAAGAAATTGATTTTACTGTTGGTTTTGGAATTGATTTTTAAATTGTGAATTTGGGTGGCGTGATATGAGGAATTTTCAAGGGGGAATCGTCTAATTGGGTGGTTAGTTTTTCAAGAGTATGTGTTGGAGTAGTTGGATTTGAAGAAGAATATATCAGTGACATGGGTTATAGAATTATTTCAGTGGGTGCCTGATAAGTACAGGATAAACTTTTACATAGTGATTTAATTATGTCTATTTTGATGTTTATTTAGGTTTCGAATAGTTATGTGGAATTGCATTTGAAGAGATAATTATTGAGGTAAGTAGCTATACCCTCCAATGTTTTTAAAATAAATAAATATATTTAAACGAGTTTTGTCAAGATTTGATTTATTTGATTATTTATTCATCTATTTCTTAGAGAATGATTTTTACTAAATATTTTTAATGATGAAATGAGATGATTTGTCGATCAAGTATAATATTTTTATTTAAATTTGAGATGAGATTGTGGCCATGTGGAGGTGGCTATTTTAAATTTGTTTTCTCCAATATTATTGAAATTGTTATTTTTGGAACGGTTTCTTTTATTTGTGCTGATTGGATGGTTCACACTTGTGAGAGTTGAGTTGTTGGTATTGTGATAGATCCGAGATCTATGGATTGTGAATTGTAGATTGTGGATTGTTGCACAGCCATAAGGGACGAATAATGAAATATTCTGGTTTCGAGGAAAGAATTGTATTTCTTTTATCGTTTCATTTTCAATAAAAACTCAGTTTTAATTTTTATGCTTGGTTGCGATGGATGGGTATATTACTTACGAAGTTCTTAAACTCACGTTTTCAAATTTCATCTCATTTTAGGGAAGAGGTATGAGCATTGAGATTCGCATGGGGATTGAGAGATCGTTAGAATAAATTGGCAAAAATTTAGCAATAGCTCAATTGAAAGCTTATTTGGTTTTATAAAATAAGATGTTAATCACTTTATATTGTGGTTAAGAGATTTGATTTTGTTATTTGGAGACTATTAAGATTTATTAATGGAATTGTTTATTTTTAAGTCGCTAGACTACATTAGAACTTTATGGGAGATTGTATTGATATGTTGGTAGATGGCCTTACACATTTATAGGGTGACCCTATAGATGTGTGGCGTTTGCTATGACTAAACCTTTGGGTTGGGGCGTGACACGAAGTAAACACCATACACTGACATTGACTCATCACAATCTTTAAGGTATTGATCGAAGATTCCAAATAATACGAAATTACCTCTAATTAATCTCTATGATTCTTTCTTCGATGGGATTAAAAGTTTTAGATTTTGTTTGATATATTTTACCTAGTGCATGCTATTTTAATGTTCAGCCAAAATTGAACAAATATGTAGAGTCATTTGTTTAATATTACACTATTTATTGTAAACATATAAGTCTAAGTAATGTTGTTAGAATTATTTTAATTTATACAAAAGTACCTTCTATGCATTTCAATAAAGAAAATTATTTAGAAAAATTATATAAATGGTTCTGTACTGTTGTAGGGGCAATTATGGGTGTTGTAGGGGGAATTATGGGTGTTGTAGGTGAGGAAAGGCTCATCGTGCAGGGGCCATGTTCCCAGTTCAAGGATTGCAACCAACACTGTCTCGACATTAAATTTCCTTTGGGTGGATTTTGCAAGAGTTGAGTCCTGGTCAAACTTCCTTATGTCTTTGCAAATCCATTTAAGCATGTTGCTGATTTTGAGTTTGTACTCAAATAAATGGATGAATAAAGCTATTAGAATCTTTTGTTAGAGATAAATCCCAATCTCATAGCTTTGATATTGTTGCTGGAATTTAACTATCACCAAGACCAATTGATGAAAAACATAACTATAAAATTATGCAAATGGAGTAAATAACAAAGTAAAATAATATAAAAGAGGAAAGCCTAATTTAACTTGGAAAACCCTTCCAAATGAGGGGAAAGATATGGAGATGGAAAGAAAAATCTATTATTGAGAAAGAATTACAATATTAAAAACTCAATCCCAATTTCTTTTATGAACCCCTAATTTCTCACAAAAACTTTAAAAAAAATTTTCTTTAACACGATTGGAACTCTCAATAGACTCTAAATAAGTCTTATAATCACCCATGGTTAAGAACTTATATTAAGAAGGTACAAAGAAAAAAAGAAGAGGAAAAACAAAATGCTGGAAGAATAGAGATTCAACAAGATGGCTAGTGCAAAAATTGCAACATTTGCTCAACATTGAATTCAAAGAAATACTCTCTCTATTCAATAATAATAGATATTCTTGTCGTTAAATGTCTTGGATGCCATTAACTGTTCAACCAACTAGATTGCCAACATGGAAAACATTCTGATGTGTCATTGCCACATGGTGCCACATGGATTCTCTTTAGCCTGATTTCCCTCAAAATAAACTAGGACCCACATGTGGCATCTATGTGGCATCCACATGGCAATGACAACTCAACACTTTTTCCACAAGCAATCAACTGACTAAGAGAGTGACTGATTGTTAACTGGCATCAAAGATATTTGCATGCAAGAGAATATTCCACCTAATTGGGGCCTTATTGGAGAATTTCATGTAGTTTGGGGTCTTAATTGAGTGTAATTGAAGTTTGGGTCTTAAATTGTGAATTTTGTGCAAGCTTGGGTCCTTATATCACATTTTTGCCAAGTTTTAATCTTGACCAATTTTAGTCTCTGAACTATTTTTATAATTTTTTCATCTGTTAACTATGGAAAATGCATTTTTTTTGTCTTTCCATCAGTTTTATCCATTCATTAAAGCTGTACAATTGGCATTTTTTTTTTTGTCCCTAAGCTTTTGTTTTGTGCTCATTTTTCTAATCCTAAACTAATATTTGTTGCATAGTTTTAGTTTTTAAACTTTTGTTTTATGCTCATTCATGTTATCAAAGGAAATTAAATGCGAATTAGGTAGGCAA